GGCCACTGCAGTGTGCCATCTCATCATCTGTCCATGGGTCGTTTGATAGTTACATTTCCTAAGCGAGAAAATCAATACTCAGAAAAATTAGATGATCCAGCAAGTTCATGGCAGAGCTGAGCTCAAACACCTCTTCTCCAGATTTCCAGACTATTTCCAGGCCGTGTTTGTTGAATCAAGATGCCACTGACTCACTGCCACATCGCCTGTCTAGTTGCACATTCCCATCATGTATCGTCAGCAACTTGAATGTTTTCTTCGGCCTTGAACTCTGCCGAAAGTCAGTAATCTTCAGCCTTCCACTTCGAACTGAATTAAGAGTTATCAATTAAGGGTTAAGGCAGTTAAGGGTCAAAGTATATCGCCAGCCTGTGTTGAGGAGGAAATTATTACAATAGTAATGAAGAGAGTGATAATAGCAATAAACATATTGAATAATTACCGGATGGTAGTCACTATGTCTCAGTGTCTCTGTCTCATTTAGTCCTCACAATACCCCTGGAAATTCAGTACTGTTATTATCCCCATTTGTTGGTTGAGGAAACTCATGTGACAAATAATTTGTACATAGTCACAAAGTTATTAAGTGGTTCTGTCTGTTGTGGTGATAGGCTAGGTTTTGCTGCCGTAACAAGTGACCCCCCAAATAAGTCTCAGCAGCTTACAGGATTAAAGATGTATTTCTTGTTCATACTGTGTGTCCATTGCAGATTGGCTGTAGCTTGAATTCACATTGTACTGGTTCTGGGTCCCAGGCTGACAGAGTGACCCCATATAGATTATTGCTGGTTTTGGGGCAGAGAGAAAGAAGATGAATCACTTTCCTGCACCGACTTTAAAGATTCTGCCAGTTGTCCCAGCATGGTGGCTCACACCTGTGTTCCCAGCACTTTGGGAGGCTGAGGCAGGTGGATCACTTGACCCCAGGAGTTTGAGACCAGCCTGGGCAACATGACAAAACCCCATGTCTACAAAAAATACAAAAATTAGCCAAGCATGGTGGCACATATCTATAATCCCATCTACTTGGGAGGCTGAGGCAGGAGGATCACTTGAACCTAAGAGGTGGAGGTTGCAGTGAGCCAAGATCCCACCACTGCACTCCAGCTTGGGCAACAGAGCCGGACCTTGTCTCAAAAAAAGAAAGGGGAAAAAAAAAAGATTCTGCCAGAAGTGACACATATCACCTCTACCTACATTTGACTGAGTAAAGCTGGTCCTATGACCACTCAGTTCAACAGGGCAGGGATGCATAATCTTTCTGTAAGAGGGATAACGAAATATGTGGAGAATGGTGACACAGCTACTACAACAGCAGAGCTAGGATTCATGCCTACATCCACAGAGTTTGAATCCTGACATTAGAACCCTCCATCTTGATGGCCCTCCTGCCTCCCACTGTGCTAGATGCACGTGGTTCAGCCTCATCCCACACTACCGATGACGTGAATTTCAATCGTGGAAAACCAGCATCATGATATGCACAGAGATTTTTACTATTGGTTTCTGCTTCTGTGTAATGAATTGACTGAGAAACACTGGGCTTTACAAAACCCAGGAGATGCTTAGGAAAAAAATCTGTTGAGGTGAACTGGCAGGGAACCAAAAAGCACAGCAGGTCCCCAGATGCCCAACTGAAATCCCATTTTGTGTATGTATGTATGTATGTATGTATGTATGTATGTATGCATTTATTTATTTATTTTGAGACATAGTCTCACTCTATTCCCAAGCTGGAGTGCAGTGGTATGATCTCAGCTTACTGCAACCTCCTCCTCCCGGGTTCAAGTAATTCTCCTGCATCAGACTCCTGTGTAGCTGGAATTACAGGCGCCCGCCCCAATGCCTGGCTAATTTTTGTGTTTTTAGTAGAGGTGGGGTTTCACCATATTGACCAGGCTGGTCTCAAACTCCTGACCTCAGGTGATCCGCCTGCCTCGGCCTCCCAAAGTGCTGGGGTTACAGGTGTGAGCCACCATACCTGGCCAAATCCCATTTCTTTTAGATGACTGGAGAAGGAGCTATTTCTCAATGAAGTGTATGGTTCATGAGGAGGGAGATGGGAAGGAAACAGGTACTGGTTGAGCACATACATTTTTCTGCTCACGGAGATGCAAAAACACAGCACATCATCCATTCTCAATATAACTTTATTGACTGAATGGACGAAGAAGGAATGAAATTAATCCTTACAAACCAACAACTTTATGAGGTAGAAATTAGTATCCACCTTTTGACGAAAGAGGAAACTGAGGCTTGGGGAGATGCAGCATCGTGATGGCATCAGCCCTGATTGCACTGAGCCCTTGCAGTGTGCCCGCCACTGTGCTAAATGCTTTACAGATAATCTATTACTGGAGCCTCACAGTTCATGGGGAGGTAGGGACTGTTATCCCTTAATTCATCTATAATATGGGTACAATAACCATACTGCTTCTTAGGATAAGATTAACCCTGTGAAGTGCAAAGCCCAGTGGCTGAGATGTAAGAAGCCCTCGGTAAAGATTAACCATTTTTCTTCTTTGATTATCACCATGCTTTGCTATCACTCCACACTGAGTTATTATTCAGACTCCAACCTCAGTTCAGAGTTCCCACTTAATAACCTCTCCGTCCCAGCCGCAGCAAAGGGGCTGAAGGCTGAATGTCCAATAGGAAAATTGGGCTTCCTGACTCTTGAGTGCTCACATCAGTTCTCAGGGCTCACCTGACCCCAATTCACTCTAAATGTTTTCCTTTTGCTCAATTTTTTAGCATTTCCATTTCAAGTCTGAACAAGTCTAGCTACTGCTCCAAGGCCAAGGTCTCCCATCTTCAAAAAGATCATTTTGAGGGAAATTGGTTTCCAAATGTCCCAGAGGGAGGTGGGATCAGATGACAGGGTGGGGAAGAAGGGAGGGGAGGAGGGAGGTGACGGAGTCTGTGATTATCTATTTTGTGCTTCTTCTGGGTCCATCTGTTTAAAGATCTTTTTTGTGCTTCTCTTGCTATTATTATTATTTTTTTTATCTTTTTATTATCAAATTGCAACCCTGTTAGGATGGATCCATTGGGTAAGTAGTACATCCCATACACTGAGATTCCTCGGCTGGGTTTTAGAATGTTTTCAGCTTTTTAAACCATCAACGGGCTCAGGGTGACTTTGGTCCCTTACTCTGAGTGGCAGAGTAGCTAACCAGCATTGGCCCCTGTTTGAGGGTTGGTGTGGTGGGGATGTCTCAAGGGATCCTGGGCACAGCTGGCCCTAAAGACCACCCTCTTTTCCCTCAGAATGGCCGAGGCATCCCGGAAGAAGAAAGAAAACCGGAGGAAATGGAAGCGTTATCTCCTGATAGGCCTGGCGACTGTCGGAGGCGGAACAGTGATCGGTGAGTCCAGCTGGAGATGGTGGCACAGGTCCGGGTTTTGCAGACAGAGACATGATGCCAGGCTGTGGGTGAGAGTGGAGAGTGCAGGGGCTCAGCTGGGAGGTGGCTCCTGGCATGCGGTAGGTAGTCAGTGAGTAGTCAGTATGCTCATCAGCACTGTCAGAAGCTTCCATGGGAGGCATTAGGTAGCTGAGGGGTAAAAACTCATCAAGCCACACATTTTTTTTTTTTTTGAGACAGTGTCTTGCTCTGTCGCCCAGGTTGGAGTGGAGTGGCGCGATCTCGGCTAACTGCAAGCTCTGCCTCCCGGGTTCACGCCATTCTCCTGTCTCAGCCTCCCAAGTAGCTGGGACTACAGGCATCCACCAGCACGCCCAGCTAATTTTTTGTATTTTTAGTAGAGACGAGGTTTCACCATGTTAGCCAGGATGGTCTCGATCTCCTGACCTCGTGATCCGCCCGCCTCGGCGTCCCAAAGTGCTGGGATTACAGGCGTGAGCCACCGCGCCCGGCCACCACATTTTTACTCCCACTTGAAACTGCTGCTTTTCCCACAGGTGTGACCGGAGGTCTAGCTGCGCCCCTAGTTGCCGCTGGAGCAGCGACGATTATTGGCAGCGCGGGGGCGGCGGCTCTGGGCTCAGCAGCCGGCATAGCCATCATGACCTCGCTGTTCGGTGCAGCTGGAGCTGGCCTGACAGGTAAGGTTCAAAAGGAATGATGGGTTCAGAGGAATTTTCAGCCAGGGCGGCCCAGTTCCTAAAAGAACATGCCTGGATTCTCACCAGCAGTGGCTCCCTGGGAGACAGAGGAAACGTGGCTTTTCTCACTCTGGGTCCCAGCCTTCCCAGAGCTCGCATGGGTCAGGGTAAGGGCCGAGTTTGAGAAGCTGGCTTTTTCCCCATGCAACTGTGTGTACTTCCTGAGAAAAGCCCCATCTGAACCTGCTTCCACCATCCGGAAGTTTCCATGCTTGGGCTTCCTCGTGCTTGGAGAGAACATGGCTGCCCTTCCCTGAGCAGCATCACCTGGGGGAGTTTTTCCAAATGATATCTGTCAGCAGCAGCCCCCCTCCCACTCCCTCAACCCCGTCATGCAGAGACATTCCTGCTCAACTCCCCAAGAGGAGTTTGCTCCCCTGTTGAGACTCTTGGTCTATTTGATTCGCCGTTACTAAGTGGAGTGTGTTCTACCCCTGCAGTGTGTGGGCAGGAGAAAAGAAACAGAACCAGGGCAGAGCAATGGATAAGAGCCTGGGCTCTGAGGTCCAAACCAGCTCTTCCACTTGGGGCCGGCCAGCCTCAACAGCAGCTTCTTGCTTTCGTCTGTAATCAGGGACAATAATGGCACCCACCTTAATGAGTTCAAACACATTGTTGGATGTTTTTCCAGGGGGAGGGCACACAGACGGCCCTCACTGTGTGCATGTGTAAGCACATACAGCCACCCTGATGTTCCCTGGGGTCCCAGTCACCTCCATTCTCTTTCTTGGATCTGGGTCTTTAGGATACAAGATGAAGAAGCGAGTGGGAGCCATTGAAGAGTTCACATTTCTGCCTCTGACGGAGGGCAGGCAGCTGCACATCACCATCGCCATCACTGGGTGGCTCGCGTCCGGCAAATACCGTGAGGACCAGGAGGACCAGAAGTGGAGGGGGGTGGGCAGTGGCTGGCCTGGGCCAGATCCTGGGCTAGGTTTTTACCTGGGCTAGGGAGCAGTGATGGGGAGCCCTATTTTGCAGAGGAAGAAACTGAGGCTCAGAGAGGTGAGGTAACTTCATCTCACATCTATCTACCTGCCCATCATCTCTCCATCCATCTATCCACCTACCCAACCACCCACCCCCCTGTCCATTCACCCATCCATCCACCCATCCATCCACCCATTCATCCACCCATCCATCCATCCATCCACCCACCCACCCTTCTACCTATTCACCCATCCGCCCACCCACCTGTTTATCCATCTACCCACCCATTTAACCATCCTTCTATCTATCCATCCATTCATCTACTCTTCTACCTATCTACCTGTCCACCCACTCACCTGTCTACCCACCCATCAACCCGTCCATCCATCCACACTTCTACCTGTCTATCCATGCGCCCACCCATCCATTCATCCATCCACCCTTCTCCCTATCCACCCATCCGCCCACCCATCTATTAATCCATCCACCCATCCACCTATCTGTCCATGTAGCAGTATTTATAAACTGCTGTACTTACCATGTGTCATATACTGAACCAGGTCTTAGGAATTCAGCGGTGAGCAGCACAGTTATGGCCTCTAGTCCCACAGAACATACAGCCTAAGATAGAAGACAGACCAAGTAACTAAATGGGAGCTTTATGGATGGCACAATAGGGGAAGGACAGGGTTTTTTCTGGGGAAGGTTCTGAAGGAAGTGACATTTAGGCTGAGGGCTAGCTGGGAGTTAGCCCAATAAACCAGGAGCAGAAAGTGTATTCCAGGCCAAAGGACAGCAGGTGCAAAGGCCCAGTGGTTTGAAAGAACCAAAAGAGCACAGGATGGCACAGGATGGCAGCAGGGAGCCAGAAGGCAGGAATGTGGGTGGAGCCAGACCACGCAGGAGCGTGTGAGCTGTGGCAAGAAGTTTGAATTTGTCCTCAGAGCAAGTGGAAGATAGCAAAGGACTTTAAGCACGTGAGTGGGAGATCAGTATGTGTTGGCTACATGACCTCAGCAGGTTATGTAACTTCTCTGTATCTCAGCTACTTCATTTGTAAAGTGGAACGAATTATTGCCACCTTTTCAGGATGCTGCAAAGATTAAGTGAGGAAATGCATGAACATCACGTGGTTTCTCGTTGGCATGACGCAACCTTAGTTCCCTTTGCTGTTCTAATTTGAACGTGCATATTTTGGGGGATTCTAGCCAGGGTGGCATTGAGGACTCACACCATGGTCCACTTGTTGTTTGGCTGACCCCTGCAAGTGCCCAGCGAGAGGCTCAACAAACAACAAACACTGCATCCCTTAGAGAAAGAGCAGGGTGAGCGCAGGAATCCTAAACGTCCCAACCTGGCCACTCAGGCACGCCCCGTCGGAGCCTCCTGGGTTCCCAAGTCTCTGACCTGAGGACAGAAGTCGCAGATCTGCCAAACCACGCAGAAGAAAGCCAGCGAAAAACGTTTAGAGGTGTCATCAGGCGCCAGGTCTTATTGGTGCGTGACCGCCAGGCCCCACCCATGCACAGAGGTCACTAGCGTTCAGTGAGCGCCTCCTTCACACCTACCCTGAGTCTGGCATTTTACCAGCACAGTAGGAACTTGGTATGGTTACCTCCTAGAAACCTCACTTCCACCCTCCAAGGTGAGGCTGTTCGGACCCTGAACTGTTGGAAGAGGAACCCTGGCAGGAGAGTAGCAGATGCAGAATTCAAACCCAGGTCTCCTGATCCAATGCCCAGGGTTTCCTTTCATTTGTTTTCATTTTACCATGCTACAGGAGGGAGCAAGAACAAGAGCCCAGGTAAAGGAATTTGCAAGTCTGGCAGGCATGGAAAGCAAAGTCTTTTCTTCATTTTGCCCCCGTTTGTTTAGTTTGCCCCAGGTTAAAGGTCAAGTTCGTTTGTGGATGAGGAAAGTCTTCACTGATCTCCAGCAGTCTAGTGTGGTGGGGCACCCAGGGAAAGGACTAGGTAAAAGAAATATAATCAAGCTACAGAAAGTTTCAGAAGGAAAAAATATCATGTATTCTTACCTCCTCGAGAGCCAGGAAAAGAAGCCTTACCATCACAAGGTTGCTTTTTCTTTTTCTTTCTTTTTTTTTTTTTTTTTTGAGACGGAGTCTCACGCTGTTGCCCAGGCTGGAGTGCAGTGGCGCGATCTCGGCTCACTGCAAGCTCCGCCTCCCGGGTTCCCGCCATTCTCCTGCCTCAGCCTCCTGAGTAGCTGGGACTACAGGCGCCCGCCACCGCGCCTGGCTAATTTTTTGTATTTTTAGTAGAGACGGGGTTTCACTGTGGTCTCGATCTCCTGACCTTGTGATCCGCCCGCCTCGGCCTCCCAAAGTGCTGGGATTACAGGCTTGAGCCACCGCGCCCGGCCAACAAGGTTGCTTTTTCTATGTGATAGGAATAACCAGACTTTCTTTGGCCCACCCCTTTATTAGTCTTGATTATGTACAATAAAGATAAAAACTTTGTAGCCAACGACCAAGCCCTTCATATGCACTGGCTCATATAGCTCCTCACTTCAGTCCAAGGAAGGGGCCATCATTCGCCCTCCCATTTTCCAGATGAGGAAACTGAGGCTCATAAGGGGTGCCCAGGGTCACCCAGCTAGTCAGGGGCAGGGGCAGGATTCACCCCCATTCTGTCTGGCTCCACAGCCCATATTCTTGACCACGGGACAGCACAATGCAGTAGAGCACTTTACAGTTTATACAACACCTTTTTATTTTTTTTATTTCTTTTATTTTTTTTTTATTTCTTTTTTTTTTTTGAGACGAAGTCTTGCTCCATCACCAGGCTGGAGTGCAGTTGCGCAATCTCGGCTCACTGCAACCTCCGCCTCCCGGATTCCAGCGATTCTCCTGCCTCAGCCTCCTGAGTAGCTGGAATTACAGGCACGTGCCACCACGCCCAGCTAGTTTTTTTAGTAGAGACGGGGTTTCACCATGTTGGCCAGGATGGTCTCGATCTCTTGACGTCGTGATCTACCCACCTCGGCCTCCCAAAGTATACAACGCCTTCTGCAACATCTCATGTGATCCCCACCACACCCATGAGTCAGATGTTATTATTCCATCCTTACAAATGTGGAAACCAAGGGTCAGAAGGACACTGTGCCTTGCTGTGAGTCACACCAGTGGAAGCCATCGAGCTGGGTTCAGAACCCAGGCTGGCATCAAGCCCGTGCTCCTCGCTGTCCTGGGCCCATCTCCTCTCTCGGGGCTGACCATCACCTTATTCATAATGAGAGGCAATTGATCCCCAAGTTGTTGCTGAGCTGAGACAGGGTCCCCACAGAGGGAGGGGAGCAGCTGCAGGGTTGTCCTTGTGCAGATGTGGCACCCTGCAGGTAAGGATGAGCTTTGGGGCAGGCAGGTAGAGGCCTGAGGTTGATGCTCAGAACCTGCAGGCCGCCCCAGGAAGCTGTCTCCACCCCTCCATTCCCACATGGTGTTTAATGAGCGCTTACTGTGCGTCACATCACCAGGCTTTGGGAATATAGTGTTTGATAAAACAGACTGTAGGAGAGGCACACGTCAAACAGGATGTGAAAATAGTGAATAATTACAGACTGTGATAAGAACTTACGGGAAAAGTGGAGGGTGCGTTTGATTTGTCAGAGGAGCCGGGAAGGCTTCCCCATGGAAGAGGCGATTGGACTGGAATCTCAAAGACAAGTGGTAGTAATCTAGGGGAACTGATGTATGATCTGGGAGCTCATGAAGGGTTTTAGGCAGGAGTGGGAGAAGATTTGTGTTTTGAAAAAGTCACTTGCGCTGGGCGCAGTGGTTCACGCCTATAATTCCAGCACTTTGGGAGGCTGAGGCGGGTGGATCACTTGAGGTCAGGAGTTCGAGACCAGCCTGGCCAATATGATGAAACCCCGTCTCTACTAACAATATACAAAAATTAGCTGGGTGTGGTGGTGGGTGCCTATAATCCCAGCTACTCAGGAGGCTGAGGTAGGAGAATCACTTGAACCCAGGAGGCGGAGGTTGCAGTGAGCCAAGATGGTGCCAGTGCACTCCAGACTGGGAAACAAAGCAAAACTCTGTCTCAAAAAAAGAAAAGGAAAACCACTTGGGCCACAAGCAGAAATGCATGGGGGCCAGATTAGGGGCCCCTCTGTGCTCCTATCCTGAAGGCAGCCAGGTGGGCAAGGAAGGAGGGGATGAGGGAGGCAGGTGTCATGGTTATACTTTCCGACTTGACATCGACCGCTACAGTGGTGCCGTCTCATCCTCCTCCCGTGGGTCATTTGATATTTATATTTCCTCAGTGAGAAAATTGAGGCTCAGGAAAATTAGATGACCCAGGAAGATGATAACAGAGCCGGGCTCAAACACCTCTTCCCCAAATTTCTAGCTATCTCCCAGGCCATGTTTGTCAAATCAAGATGCCGCAGACTCACAGCGCCGCACTGCTTGTCCCATTGTGTGCTCTCGTTCTATGTCATGAGCAGCTTAATGCCAGAATTATTTCAGCATGAGAGAAAATAACCCTTTACATATATCATAGTTCAAACACACTTCATTCCTATACCTACCCTATGAAGGGAGATAAACCATCTTCCCACTTCACATAGAAGCAAAGCGAGGCTCAAGGTGAGATAGTGATGTGCCCAGGGTCACCTGGCTTCTAGTGAATGCAGGAGCTGGGATTCAAGCCCAGCCTGCTGACTCACTGGGCTGCACAGAGCTCTGTTAGCTCTGCTGACAGCTGCCACTCATTGGCAGGGGGTGGCCTCTTGTCTTCCAACAGGGGTGAGTGGTCCTGGTGCTGCCTGTCTGGGGTGATGGGGTGGGGTATTCTCTGCCACAGACAAGAGAGACTTCACCTACCTGTGATCTCCCCAGGCACCTTCAGTGCCCCATGGGCCGCCCTGGCCCATAGCCGTGAGCAGTACTGCCTGGCCTGGGAAGCCAAGTACCTGATGGAGCTCGGCAATGCCCTGGAGACCATCCTCAGTGGTCTCGCCAACATGGTGGCCCAGGAGGCTCTAAAGTACACAGTATTGTCTGGTAAGCCCCCCTACCTGCCCCACAACAACAGCATGCCCAATGCCTTCATCCCACAGTGGTGGCATAGTTTTGCATGCCCAAAACCCCCAGGGCATGCACCATGCTGGACCCTAGGAACACAGAGAGGTTAAGGCCGCATTCCTGTCTGGGAGAAGTTTATGATCCCTATGGAGAGAAGACAGGTAAACAGCCAGTCGCATGATCTGTCTGTCAGCTATTGCTGCGTGACAAGCCACCCCAAAACTCCGTGGGATGTTTACTGTAAAGTTCAGGAGCCAGGAGGCTGGAGTTGGCGGATCTTAGCTGGGCCTATGGGGTCAGCTGACCGTCCACCAATCAGTGCTGGCCTTGTCTGGGGCGACTCGGCTCTGCTCCATTTGTCTCTCATCCTCCTGCTGGGATGAACAGGCAAGCCATGTCAACGACGGAAGCGCAAGAGGCTAGCCCTGATGCACAAGTCCACTTCAAGCCTCACATCTACTAATGTCTTTGGCAAAAGCAAGTAATATGACTGAGTCTAGAGGGGATGAGCAGGGCAGGGGGACCCCTGCAGAGTTATGAGGCAAAGTGGGAGGGTACAAGGTGTGGAGACGAATTGGGGCCATCTCACACGTAACAAGGACTTGAGCAGAAGGGATTGAGTCCGTATATCAGAAATTCATGAGTTTCAGATTGCTTTGCTCATTAGCAGTTCGACAATACTTGGCAAGCTTACAGGTCCAAGTTAGAGACTGCATGCATTCGTTCCAGCATCTGTTAGCCAGTCACTTCCCTAGTAGGACCCTGTGAAGGGGGCCATTCCCTTCATCACTATCTCACCTCCCCAGGCATTGTGGCTGCCCTGACCTGGCCAGCCTCACTCCTCAGTGTCGCCAATGTCATCGACAACCCGTGGGGGGTATGTCTCCATCGATCAGCAGAGGTTGGCAAGCACCTGGCGCACATCCTGCTTTCCCGGCAGCAGGTACCTGGGAATGGCTGTGTGGGCGTGGCATGGGGCAAGAGGGGAAGTCAGGGACTGACTTGTTCACAGACATCAGCCTTAGAGGCAAGGCTACTTGGAGGAGGGGCAAGGCTACTTGGAGGTGACCCAGTGGTTTTTTGGGGATGAGGAGTCCTTGCTGCCCCTCCAGTTCAAGTAATGAATGTGTCCTAGGATGAACAGTAAGAATTACAGACTTTGCAGCTCTAGCAGGTATTTAGGTGAGGACTGAATAACAGGGGCATCTGCAGGTAGGAACAAGTCTGGGGGACTCTGGCAGAAGCAAAAGTGGCTCCTGGGTGGCAGCTCTTCATTCAAGCGTTGAGGATAATCGTTGGGCTCACTGGGGCGATATTTCAGTAGAAACCTCTGACTCAGTTTGCAGTGAAGCCAGTAAAATGAATAAGACCAGGTGCCTCAGCTGGCCACCAGTGGAATTCCCACATGCTGGTAGCCTGGTGTGCCTTCCCAGAAGTGTAAAGCTACTTTGTGAGGTCATCTTCGGTGGTCTAAATACCGTGGAAAATGGTTAGGAAGAGACATCATCGTAATACTTTTTAAATTTGAGTCTAGTAAAGATGTACTTACCAACAGAATAAAACCATCCCCTTCAAAATAAACTCGAGTGAATGGAGACAAAAGCTTGAGAAATAGTACCAGAAATGACTGCATTGTCAGGATTTGTTTTGGCTGGAAGTGGGAGAAAACCCAAAATAACAATGGCTTAAACAAGGTAGAAGCTTATTTTCCTGGAGAAGCCTAGCAAGGTTGCCTAACAGCCTGCCGTGGTGCAGAGGCCCAGGTTCCTGCTACCTTGTTGCTCTGTGGTCTTGACCTTGTATCCAAGATGGCATCATCTGAGCTCCAGGGAGCAGGAGAAAGGAAGAACTGAAGAAGAACCAGGAAAGCCTTACAACATTTCAGCTGGTGTCTTGCTGGCCAGAGCCTAGTCACATGACCATTCCTAGCTGCCACAGAAGCTGGGAAATACAGTACTTATTCTAAGTGACGATGAACCCAGCTGAAATTCAATTACTATGGAAAAAAAGGGAGAATGGATGCTGAGGGACGACAACTAGCAGTTCCTGCCATGCAGGTAAACTGCTTGAGAAACTGGCCACCTGCTTCAATCCCTGTGTCTTTGTCACAAGAAACAGAAAAGTCCTTTGGCAGGCTTGACTCTAAGGCAAAGGCCAAAGTGGCATTGGCTTAGAGAAGATAGAAGTTTGTTCTCTCCTAAGGAACAGTCTGGGGGTCAGCATCTGGGGCAAGCTGATGTGTTCATTTCCTACTGCCACTGTAACAAATTACCACAAATTTACCCGCTGAAAACAGATTTACTATTTTACAGCTCTGGAGGTCAAAAGGCAAAAATGCATGCCTTAGGGAGGATCCCCTTTCCTTGCCTTTGCCAGCTTTCAAAGGCCCCATTCCTTCACCGTCAAAGCCAGCTGTGTAACACCTTGAAATCTCTCTATTCCT